ACTGGACAGATTGACAGCAAAGCCCCTCCCAGCCACACCAACCATAAGCAGCATACAAGATTGTTAAAACTCCTAACTATTCATTCATTTGTTCGTTCATTCTTCTTCTTCTTCATAACAACAACTGCTATGAAAAATGGAAAGACTTGCAGAAATGCACTTAGGAGCCAGCTGTAAATGGGGGGGGGGGGAAGGAAGAGCAGCTTGGTAAAACAGACAACCATGTGGAGAGCAAAGAGGAATGGCCCCCAGCCAAGAGGGAAGAAATTAATGGCCTTCCTCAGGCTCAGAGGGACAAACACTGAGCAGAGGATGTTATTGCACCCTTGAGAAACCACATCGGATGATTGGAATGCCTGAGAATAAGGACAAAGGGGAACCTCTCGGCCTCGAAGGCGAGGCGAGAAGAGACCCAGGAGAAATTGTGGAGCCGGGCAGGGGCCTTTTTGCACAAACAGGGCTGAACCAAAAGGCGGCTTGGGGACGTTTTCCCTCCCCTCCTCCTTGGATAAAGTGGTGGTGGTGGTGATGGGGAATGAAGAAAGAAGAGTGTCAAGGAAGGGAAGGAACACAAAGGAGAGGGAGGATGGACAGAGGGGGAAGAAGGTGGAGAAAAGGCTGGTCAGGGGTGGCCGGACCGTTTGTGCAGGCCGGGCACTGCTCACCTGTGAATTGAACATAAATGAACAACAGAGAGATCATAGGTTTTACACACGTGGGTACGTCTGTTATCGGAGTTGGGGCTGAAGTGGGGTTCTGGTACGGCTGAGGGCTTCCAAACAGCCCAGATCTGACCCACATCTTTCCAGGGAGGGACACTTGAGTCCCGGGACTCGCTATCAAGTCGGACTTGAGTCACACCGGCGACTCGACTCAGGATTCCCCCCCCCCAAAATGACTCAAACTTGACATTCAACACAGAAATCAACCACCCTCTCCCTTTTTTCTGGGGAACAAGCTCGTTTTAATAGGGACTCAGGATTCAGGATTTGGTAGCAAAGCGTTGGGCTCAGACATGATACCCGGACCCAAAGGTTTGCGAACATCCCTGGATCCTACAGGCTGTCCTGTCCTTTTCTGTGTTTCTGCAAGACACAGAAGTCTCGAATGCACTTTTCTTTTCTACTTCTCCATACCAGGAGGCCACGTCGGAGGAAGAAGACAACCCCCCCTTCTCCTGTCATGTATTCAGAGAAGTTAATGTCAGCTTTTCATTCCGGAATGCTCCTCGCTGTACGGGCAACTCCATTAGCGCCTTTTTTCCAATATCCTCTTTTCAAGCTACCCCGAGCGTGGCTGCCAGACATTTGTTCCTGGGAACTTGGCATGGATAACGCTGCCTATAAAACCCACCGCGCACAAAATTAGGGAGCAGAGGTTGGCTGTCGTCTTTCAGGGCACTTTTTTGTGACTGTTTCCAAATTGGTATCTCTGATGGCAACTTCCAGACATTCTGGATTTGTGCTTGTTTAGCTGATGTTCTTAATTAAGTAACCACATTCCGCCTGCTTTGGAAAAAAAAATAAAAGCAAAGCTTTGCGAACCAAAGAAAATGAAGAAAAAATGCTTTAAAACGGTCAATGGACAAGCTTGTGATTTATCCCAAGGGTTTTAGCACAGACTTTCATCCATCAAATGTTTGTTTGCAGGGCTTCGAAGCTGATCTGCTGCAGAGCTTGATCTGGCCCTCATTAAAGTCGATAATTTTTCTGTTGACTTCAAAAGGGAATGGATCTGTGATGTGCACAACCCGATCCTAAATGCTTTTGCTTGAAAGCAGGAGCTATCGATTGGGGCAGAATTAGCTCCGCAAAGCAAATGTGCTTCGTACAGCAACCTAAAATGACCTGCACATCGGACTGGACCCAACCATAACTGTGTAGATGCTAATGCACCAAGGGGTTTTGAGATGGGGGGTGTGTGCGTGTGGTGGTGGTGCTTCTGGTTTTGATCGGCTGAGTCGTCCTGATGCCACAGAGGGGTCAGGATGCGGACTGGTCTGTGGTTTCCACTGGCTCTTTCGAGTTGTAGATTTGTAGACATGGACATTATAACAGTGGCTGGAAATCCCATAATGACCCTTTGCTTTGGGTATGCCAGAACGCTTCTAGACCACATTGCTTTTAGTGCCTTGCTTTTTAACTGTTTATTTTGTCTTGCCTTTATCGGAAAAACATCAGTCAAGGTGAAACCAATTGGGCATTACCAGCGGACAGGTAGTATACACAACTGTCCATTTAGAACCTCGCCTGGGAGGGTTTGAAATTTAAGCCAGCTTTGTCTGGATCTGCTATAAAACTCCAAGCACAAGGCAGGGCAAACAGACAAATACCACCTTGTTTGGAAGTAGGGACTCGGGGGCCCAAATCCTGAGGCTTGTTGGGGTTTTTTTTGCAACCTTGGATGCTGCCTTTAGTAGGTTCGGCTTGGAGGCATCTTTTTGGCCTGGGGTGACTTTCAATCTATCCAGCATTAACTGATCGTTCCTCCCCTGTCTCTGAATTCAAAGAGACCCCGACGTTTCTGTTTCTTTCCCCCTCTCTCTTCTCTGTTGGAAGCAGTGAGTTTGTTGAGGCCTGCTGTTGAAAGCAAGCAGTCACGTTTTGTGATTTTGCTGTTTGATCTGTTCAGAACTGTAAGTAAAGAAAATGTTTTTTTATTCTTTCCACTTCAAGTGTCTTGGAGTGAGTTATTGAGACTGTAAGTGCCAGTTGATGAGAAAAAGGGGTGGACTACTCGGGGGAACTCGAAGCTATTCTGCTCTGTGTATCTCTTCACTTCTGCTGTGCAGCTAGAGGAATTGAACCAAAAACACAACACTCTGAAACATTTACCACACTAAGCAACAAGACGTTTGCTAATATATAGGGATTTATCAGAAGTCAGTCAGGCAAAAAGCCTGCCTGAAGAGAAAGGTTTTTGCATACTTGCGGAAGGACTGCAAAGAGGGGGCCAGCGTGGCCTCCAGTGGGAGGGAGTTCCAAAGACTGGAAGCAGCAACAGAGAATAATAATTCAAGGGCCTTTTGCATTGGATATATCTGGAAAACAACAAGAGCATGATTTTGAAGAGGGCTTGGAAAAGTTACTTTTTAAGACACTAACTTCCAGTGTCCCTCAGCTCATCAGGTCAGGTTGGTGGCGATCTGGCAAATTGCTGTCCTACACAGCAAGTATCTTAAGCTCCAACATATAAATGTACTGTATTCTATGGGTCTTCAAATATACAGGATTTTGTGCTGAAATGAACATTGGATTTTCTAAACTTCCTCTCCTATCATTCTAAAATCTAAACATTTTTTAAAAAGGGGAAACCCTACCATTTATTTACTGTTAATTTATGATTTTTTGGAAAACTTCTATTGAAAGTAAGACCTAGGGGGGAAATATGCTGCCTGCTGGCACTTATTATACTATGTCGGGGGCCAAGAATTAATAGTACAGTTGTTGCTACTGATTAGCCAGTTCTCTGGAGGCTAAAGTGATAGAAATAATAATTACTAGCAGGCCTTAATTAATATTTGCCAGAGGCTTAGCAGATGTCTGAAATGAAATTGATTGTGAACAACACTGGTTGTGAAAATAGCAATGAATATCAGATTTGTATATTCATTCAGGGGTGTGTGGTACGATTAGCGATCAGGTTGTTCTCAGGATTAAGGACAAGCAGTGGGAAAAAAAATTCCTTTTCAGAGATATGACTCCCAGAATGGCATAGCATTATGGCAATTGTGTCTTGGGATACTGGCAGTAGTAATTAAAAAAAAGATTTTCCAGTCTCTGCTAAAAAGAAAGTGGGAGGAGTCTAGAATTAAAATCAAGAGCTTTTAAAATTATATATTGTTTGCTAAATGGCTTCCCTATGCCATAACGTTTGTGTAACGACTGGAAAGATACGACAAAATCTTTATGTGCAATCAGCAGATCATTGCAATATTAAAATAGGATTAATACACCAGCTTTGTATGTCAGTAGTATCATACCATAAGTACATTTATCAATACATATAACTGTACAATGAAGTAAAATAATACTGATGTTTATATGTAAAATTAAACTATAAAATATGGCAATTGATTATTTAAAACAATTGTTTCATTTTCTTTTAATACTAATCACATAGTATTTAACTTAATGCTTAATGTAATGAAGTACAACTTTACCTGCTAATGTTAAATTTAAACTAATTTAGGTTTCTGGATCCTGTAACTATAATAGTCATTAGGCTTTTGGAACTAATATTCCAGACTTTTAGTTATTATTAGGTGTAATGTTCAGTTTTCTAAAAGTGTGCTAATTGATTGACTATTTATTCATTTAAAATATTTATATCCCACTTTCTCTTCCAGCCACCACAATCCTTTGCTTTATTTCAATCTTGCAGTCTCTGTGGCTGTTAAGGGTCCCAGGTACACCTGCATTTGTCTATTTGGTTTATATGGGAGTTATTGTGCATTATGTTTTGATTTATTTTATCCTTTCTGATTACGACTGATTCTGGATTTTTTTTTTTCACATTGACAGTCCCATGTTGTAACTTTCTTCCCAGTTTCTCTCTGAATATCCTGTCTAGCATTTGGAATGCATTGAAAAATCTGGATCTTAATCAAAGCAGTGGCAAACCAGGGTGATTTTAATATTAACCTTTGTGTCAGTTGTCCTGGAGTCTACTTCCATAGAAAAAGCAGGTTGGGTCCCTCCAAAGCCCCAGTCTACCAGTATATTGGCTGAAGAACACAGCGCTCCAACTTTAGAGGGTTGGTCTACCGCCATAGAGGAAGGTCTCCAGCGGCCCGGTCTACCTGTACAGTATATTAATTGAATGACTCTGGAGGGCCGGCCTACCTCCCTTTAAACTTCCATTAGGTAGACTCTGCTCTGTACGTCTGTATGTGACCACGCACGCCGTGATTTCCTCCCTGGCCAAACATATGCGTGTCTACTCGAGAGTAAGTGCCAAGCGCTCAGGATCCCAACCCTTTTAAAGGCACACGAGTCTCGCGTTCGCACACCTTCGTCCCCCACCCGACCCCGAGGAAGAGGGTTGGGTTTCTGCAACCCGCGTTGCTTCAGGGCGGAGTCGGGCTCGCCGCCTCTTCTAGGGGGCGCCTCCGCCCGAGTTCCGGCCGCTGTGCTTCTCCCCGGGCCGGGGAGTCTCTCCAGAAAGGTGGGCCCGTTCACACGACTCCGGGAGTTGACGCGTGTTAGGGGCACAAGAGGAGATGACGCTCCCTGGCTTTTTGCCAGCGTGCACAGGGAGGAGTTTCCCCAGGCCTTCTTGCGTTTATGCGGGTATGCGTGAGCGTGTGAATGGGGGAACGTGCAACCAGAGAGGCCTCTCTCGAGCCTTACACGCGTGTTACTCCCGCTCTCGGCTTTGGAGGAGCAGGAAAAACCCTTTGTGGTTTGGGAGGATTTTGTTAACGGTGATGGTTTTCCTTGGAGAGATATACCTGTAGTTAACTAGTGATGTAACAAAAAGACACATCTTGAGATAATTTGAATTATCGATGATCCAGAGGGTCCCTTCCAGCTCTGCAGTGCAAAGTTGTTTATTATTATTATTATTATTATTATTATTATTATTATTATTATTATTATTATTATTATTATTATTATTATTATTATTATGAGCCACAGTTGC